TTGACTGTATCACCATGATTCCAAAAATACAATACACAACATAGCATTGACTAACAATAAAACAGTATGCAATAAAATAAAGTCATGACAAGGAACATAGCCGAAAATGGCGCCGATTCCCATCAACCAACGCGCGGTCTCTACAATGTAACATGCTGCATTGATACTCCCCAGCTGGGACCGTCCGGAATAGCAGCTCTAGTGCAAGCACCAGAGCCGCTAAAATCACGGCAGTTTTAAAGAATTGCCGTTGAGTAGTTTTCCGTTTAAAAAATAAAGTATGACAGGAAGTCTGCAACGTCGCAAACCAAGTTATGTGATTGCCGACTTACACCGTCGATATTTGAATCTAAATGCCAGCACCACAGGAGGCTGGGTCCATCATGAAGATCTTTATTTGTTTAGCTAATTTTATTTTTCGAGTTTCAGAACTTCTCAAGTGGTTCCGTTCGATTCTGACCAATCGATCATCAACAATACGGGACTTAAAAAATAAAACTTCCAAGACTCGTTGATAGCCGGGGTCCTTTTGTATGACCTTCGTGCGCGGAGGGTAAAAAAAAGCCTGTTAGGGACTTGAAACTTTCCAATTCAACGTGAGTCCTATCCCCGCAGTTCGGAACTCAAATAAAAAATACAACTGCGAGGTCCCGAGCGTAAAATCTAGCTCAAAACAGTGAAAGGAATCCGCTCCTAGCGGATGAAGGCGGATACCTAACCGATTTAAGTTGAATGGTATTGCAGAGCTTTGGAGAGCGGTTCACGGTTGATCCTCCTGGGCATATCACGAGACCACACACAAAATAAGTAAACTCTTACTCTGCAAGTAAAAAGACAAGGAGACAATTATCCTGAAGACAAACGGCACTAGGTCCTCTGCGTTTTCTTCACCTCCATTTTTCGATTACCTCCTCGTAAACTTTTTACTGGTTTATCCTTCTGCAGAGAATAATCATATGGACTGCATTTTGCATTTTGGAACTATAAATTCTGGCCCGGTTTAATAACAACGTTTGTGCCATTGGTTTCCCTATGCACATAAGTGTTTTTTCAAATGAGCCAGAATTTATAGTTCCAAATTGCAAAATGCAGTCCTAATGTAGGATTATACCTCCGCACAGCTGTGAGCTAACTTTGATCGGCTGTATACAAAGTAGCTTTTTAGATGCTGCACTGTGGATAAAGTCAATAGGAGAGGTCGGACAAAAGTTTGAAATTTTAAATGCTTATAACTCCGTATGTGTACAATTTTGAGGTTCTAGAAGTGGTTTCATTGGTTTCCTCGTGAAATGTTCTTCTTGAAGTGCCCCTTAAAATTTAAAATGTGACAAACACTGGAAAAAAAAACACATTGAATCTTGAGTCCAGACTCGTGAAAACATTGACAAGAAAAAATACTTTTGATTCAATCGGATTTTTGCTTGAATCAAAACGAAATCAGCCTAAATTAAGAGGCTTGGTTCTTGATTTAAGCTAGATTTTGATTGAATCAAGAGTACTTTTTCTTGTCGATGTTTTTAAGAGTCTGGACTCTAGATCCAAAGTGTTTTTTTTTTCCAGTGAAATTAACATCAAAATTTGCAATTTTTTCCAAAAATGTCATGTCCGATTGATTCGATCTACTGTGTGCCGTCTAGAAGATCGCTCATAATGTTCTCTCTAACTTCATTTGCGCCATTTCTTCTCAGTTTTTACTCCGAAGGAGGCTTGCGCTCTCAAATAGAGATACACAGGGAATACGCCTTCATTTTCGCAGGATACCAGAAAGCATACTGGTGAACACGAATAGTTGCTGCTACCTCTCTATTATTCCAGATGCTAACTGTAATGGATCCTTGTCCAAATCATGTTATTATTTATTAATAATACACTTATGCTCCCAAATGAGTCAATTATTACTCATAGAGCGATTTGGTAGACGAGTTAATGCAGCTCAAAATTTCAGAGGCATAGCTTATTTGGATAGAGAGTGAAATTAAGTGAATCTTAGCTCGGTGTTCCATACGGTATTTTCATAACCACACTCTCGGTTCTCGTAACCGTACTCGCCCTTTTTTCACAGTTCGGCTCATGCCACCGAACTCCTTCACGGAAAAAAATGACTGTGCGCGGATAACCATCTTGGTTTTGTTAATTAAAAGTTGGTGCCGTATACATGAAAGCATTGATAGAATAACCAACGGCATTGCAGTGTCCACAACGTCTTTAGGGAAATCAATCATTTTCAATTAGTTGCTACTAGCTATTACAAATCTGTTCACCGAGGCAAAATTGATGGTAAACTGCTCCATCAAATTGACTCATTGCACCAAAGAGTGCGCTTGCGCTTCACCTATCTTGTTTTTGGTTAATGCTACTCGGTTAAGTGGGCTCATTGAACTACAGAATGCCTTAGTGCAAATTATAAACTTGTTGATTATGAAGGTCACCATCTCAGATAACTCAATTAAAGTATTTTGTTAGTAGTCTGCCCCGTCAATTTTTTACGCTTTACCAACATTGAGTCACCAAAGAAAGCAATCAGATATGAGCTGATTAGGGAAAGTATGTTGATAAATTTTCAAGAATTCATATTCAACCCACCTTGTGTGACTGATAAGCGTGTAAATTGTAATAATATGTTCGTGGAGCGTACTTCTTTTCCCGTCCCTGGCTCGGGCGACGGTAAAGTCGCCGCAAAACTATAAGACTTCGAGCAATTAATTATTCTTGACTCTGCTCGGTTTTAATGATAATTAAAGGGCATTTATTACAACAATTCAGGAACTAGGACGATGTTAAATTTTTCACTGATATAAAAAAAACGGATTAAAACGAACTAAAATATTCATCAAAACCAAAAATTATTTCATTCTAAAAGTAAAGTATACCTCATGTCGTAATTTTTGAGGGGAAAAATAAAACTAACACTGATAGGAGGTAAAAATGATGGCGCAGAGCGCCTTCAGGGGGTTGGACCGCGTAGCGGTCAGGGGGCATAGCCCCCTAGTATTTGACTATTTGCCTAGGCATTTGACAAAATGCCTAATTTTACTATTTGCCTGCGACATATCGATTGCAGTGTTTGAAAATTGTTTTCCTCCCCCTCCCTCCCCTTGGCACCAAGTTTTACGAAAATCCGACGAGCAGGAACCGAGATAGCGTTTTAAGCCACGCCCGCCACCTTGGTTTTTCGAAATTAGACTAAAAATTCGAATTTAATGGATGGAATGGGAGCCGATGTATCAATTTAGGCTACGTCCGCCGTCTTAAATTTTCTAATTCAGAAAATTCAACTTGAAACGCATCATAAGCAAAATCTAAGCTCAGATTCGGCTTCCTCGTGAAAAATCGATGCTATTTCATGTATCATATGTTACCATAGCATAAAGAAAAGAGGGTAATCGTAGGCGTAAAGATTCTATCAAAGCCGGCCGGTATGCGGAAGTAGGCACAGAATCCAAACGTTTGAGCTACGCCGCCAGGCGCCGGCGTCAAGCATTTGGTTCGTCCGTTTCCGAGAAAACAAACTTCTTCTTTACTCATCAGCTGACCCACTCCGAATCACCCATGTTGCCACGTCGCGTCGGACTGATATGTTCGAATCTACACGCCTACGTTAATCTCTTTCCTTTATGATATGGTGACATATGATACATGAATTTGCATCGATTTTTCACGAGGAAGCCGAATCTGAGCTTAGATTTCGGATATTATGCGTTTTAAGTCAAATTTTCTTTTATCTATTTTAAATCACTCAAGAAAATTTGCGGAAACTTATTAGAATAACAGTGTGTATTCTTTTAAAAACATTGATCAGAAGTAAAACATTGACGGTATTTGAATCCATTAAGCTCCGAGATAACTTGAACACGGTTGTTCTACGACTTTTTACGTATGTTGTTTTCTTCCGTATTGGTTGTCGGCAGCGTAGTGACCAAAGGCCCCTGGTACTAATAGTGGTTTTCAAAATCAATTTTTTTCTACATTCAAAATTCCAAGGAAATGGCAGAAATTTATCAATTGTTACTAATGTTTTAACAATGTTTCTTGTCAATTGTATGCTGTCGTTAAGCTAAACATCCCAGGTATACCAGTAGGCTAGGCATGCACTATATTTAACACCATGTCAAGACTTCAGTACTCTAGAAGGGTAATTTTTTTATTTTCTATTCTACATAATCTCACTTGTTCAAGTAAGTAGCCTGGGCTTCTTTGTCCAATGCTAGAAGCACTTTAGCCAATCATAAAAATAATCCTAGTTTGAAAATTTTGAATTGATTCTCGACATGAAAAGAAAAAAAGAAAAAATAGATAAATAAAATGCAGTTATAAATAACAACGAAGAGATATTTAATGAAGTATAAAAATTAAAATGAAGTGACTGAATTAAAGTAAAAAAATAAAAAATTGCAAGAAATAAAATAAAGTAAGTAACGGTAAAATACAGGGAAGAAATAAAGAATAAATAATCAAAGAAAAATAATATTAAGTAAAGAAAAAACAATAAAGTAAAACATTAAAATTAAATAAAGAAACAAAGGAAAATAAAAAATTAAAATAAAGTAAATAAATAAAAAGAAATAATCAAAGAAAAATTATATTACCTAAAGAAAAAAAATAAAGTAAAAAATTTAAAATGAAGTAACGAAATAAAATAAAGTAAAAAACTGAAATAACGTTAAAAAATAAAATGAAATACAAAAATTAGAAAAATGAATGAACCAATCTAAGTATGTAGATTGAATATCCTGGTTTCCCGTTCAAATCGAAGCTATGTACAGGTTTTTCGGTCAAGATTCTCACCTTACTGTATAGCTCAATCGTTAGGGTCTTCGGCTAGGGTATGATAGGTCCCAGGTTCAATTTCCGCGGTAGGCTAATAAATTTGATAGGTCGGATACGACTACAGCACCTCACTATAAGTGCTATAGTCTCATTTTACTCGATTTCGAAATTTATTTACGCGATTAACCCTTTTCCACCATCCCCTAGCTGCGAACCCCGACATTGCACACCTTTGTATTCAATTTTTTTAGCTGTACGTTTTACAAGAAAATACTCCTCTTTATGGCTAAAAACACCAAATATTAGGTTCTCCTTGCTTTATTGATTGATACACTAAACATCCAGATGGGTCAGTCTACCATCTTTGAAGGTCTATCTCAGCAACGGGACGTCTACGGAGGACGGCGCGCCCACCCAGCAGTGTTGGTAGGAATTACCATCTTTGTTGTCAACGCCTACCTGATCGCGGTTTGAGGTTTCTAACCATCATACATTTGTGATCGTAGCAAAATTGTTCTCAGGGGTCGAATCTGGGAATCCAAGATGGTAAATGTCACCTACACTATCTGGCTATAAGCACCAAAGATTTTTTTCCGTGAATTCATGGTTGGGTTTGGTTTGAAAGTTCGATAAAATGAATAAGGAAGGAACCTAAGAACGGTTACGTGAACCTAAGTCAGGTCATATGAACATGAAGTGCGGTTTCTTGAATCGAGAAGTACAATTCCACGAATCGAATAGAATCCCAAGTAGCATTTTTCAACGGAAAAATCGCGATTTGTTGCGATTTTATCGCCGATAAAATCGCTAAGATCATCAACATCTGAGCGATTGTCCTTCGATCTTGTTGCAATAAAATCGCGATTTTATCGCCCGGTAATATTTCGCGATATAATCGCAACAAAAATCGCGATATATGGCGATTTAATCTCGATTTTACCGACGAAAATTGATCGCGATCGTTGAACGAAAAATTGCAATGCATAGCGATTTAATCGCCATAAATCGCAATGTTTTATTCGATAATATTGCGATAAATTGCCACCGATATAATTGCGATAATCAATACCGATAAAATCGCTATCTATCGCGATCACTGCTACTTGGGATGCACGGCCGATATGGAACACGCTACTATGCTATGAGACAAAAGTCAATAGCAACTCGCAAATAAAGCGCCTGCAAATAGCTGAGTAGGCAAGCCTCCCCAGCGCGCGGGCGATTTTCAAACAGTTTCACATGCCGAGCTTGAAGGTATTTTAGACATTTACCTATTAATCGTGGTTCAACCACTCGAGGAAAGAAGAAAAGGCGACTCAAAGTTGAAAAAATTGCTCTCGTACAATTAATGCATAATATTCATTTAACACTCCGATTTTGACGGCACTTGATCCCATGTAGAATTTGAGGGATGCAACGCAACAGCAACTATTTAGATCCTTCCAAGCTTCAAATTACTTTTATTTTCCTTATAATTTTGAATCGAATGATGGCTGAAAAAAAGTGTTGACTTTGAATACCATAGTTAATGTTCTTGAGTGAGGTGAAGTGATCAAGAATGACCACGTAAATCGCATGCATTCATTGTTAATTTTAATAATGCTACTTTTACTAAAATACAATTCATGTTACTGCTTTTTTCCTTTCTTCTTTTATTTCCCCCTCTCTCTCCCTCCCTCTTTTTGAAACTTAAAATAATTTTGCAACAGAGAATTTTAATTGCCGAATTGTCATTATGCCATGGTTATACTTGTTTCCATATTCACTGAGGAAAAATTGTAAAGCAATGTGAAGGACACAAATAATGTAAGGCCACAGAGAAGATGAAGAGGAGGGAGAGAGAAAGAGTACAATCGTAACTTTATAATACTGGGTGAATGTGTATACCGACTGTCAAACTGAGATTTTAACTTTTTTCTCTGTCTTTGAATTTTTATTTTTGATTAATACCTAATCGAAAATAAGATTGTGAGAAGAGAATCCTGAAATATCCAGGTTTTTTAAACATCTGAATTTTTTAGCCCAGGTCATCCATTTTTTTTATGTTTTTTATCGGTGTCCCAAATTGGGTCTTTGCCACATAACTCAGTAAGTATGAAAACCCAATAATGCACTACATGGGTTGTAAGTAATATAACATTACATAATGTGATTTGTGTTTCAGATAATCTGGTTGCGGAAGTTATCAGGATGAGAGCTGTCAAAGTAGCTATAATGGGCTATCCCTCCAAAACCCCTCTTTTTGATCCAGGCTGATTGTACTTTGATCAAATTACGTTGAATGGTTCGTAATTCATTTCATTAATGCTAACGATTAATAATTTTTCAATTATCGAACTAAAGTCAGATTGGACTCACAATTTAGAGTGCTTTTGAAGTGCCTATGACGAAAAGGGAGTAAGAAAACCATTGCCGGGAGATATAATCTTATCTAACATCTCATTATTTACATGTTCTAATTTCAAGAAAATGCCCTATAAAACTTCTTATTGAGTTTGCCAACTTTACAAAAATATTACAGGAAACAGAGAATTATCTACTTCAATTCAGCTTTTTTTTTTTCCGTGATACCAATGGACCTCATGGGCAATATGTTTTCTGTTCAAAATTTGTTGAGTATAACGAATCACACAACGGGAAATCTGGAAATCAACTCAGCAAAATATAAGTGATTTTGTACAATTAACATTGTTTAAATGCCAAGAATATACATTAAATGACGTCATTTGTATAATCTAACCTCCATTTGATCTGTGTTAAAAATACTTGTTTATATCTCACTGAGGAGTTGATTTCCAATCTTCTTGTTGTGTGAATCTTGTTCTACCGATGATTTTGAGGAGAAAGCCTTTCACTTTTTTTTCTAATTAGAGCTTGTCCTGTATCTGATGGAAAAAAATATGCTCACAAAAAAGTACAAATGATTGTGATTAATGATTCATTTATTATATTCCTTATTTACATAGTGCGAACTCTTAATAATTAGCAGTCTAAATCAGGAGAATATATATATAACTAGTATATGCACATTAAAAACATTTTAATATAACAAGTTAAAAAACTTTACGATTGGTGAACAAATAATGTTCAAATAAGGAGCAATAGGTAGATGAATTCTTCATAATATACTGATGGGGATAATATTCTGACAGATGATCACATGAGTTAAGTTGACATTTATTTACTTTGATAAAAATTTCAAAACCTACACCAAGCCATAAAAATTATCTTAAGCCAAAAAAATAAGAGTTGTAATAATGAAGTACCTATAGATGCAGACTTCTTTTCTCTATTCAAGAAATCATGATAATAAAAAAAAACTTTACTTAATATGTAGTTGAAGATGTATATTAGTGAACCTCAGCCCTAGAAAATAAGGGCAGAGTTTTTGCTTCATAAAAGGTTAACAAAATCATTTAGTAGAGGGTAGGAAAACATGATTCCTCCTAAAAGTGCAGAACTTTTCACAAGTTAAATTAAACCCTTTGTTCTTTGTATTTATTTTAAGTTTGAAACCACAGATTAAAACTGATTTTATTCCCTCACTTTTAGAGGAAAAAATTTAACAGCCCATTCCCCCCCCCCATCCCCTCCCTAAGAGCGGTTTTAGAAGGAAAAGTTTGTCAGGAAAAATCTGAATTAATCAGTTGAAAGTTAGTTAGAAAAACTGCAACATGAAAAGACCTTTTTTTTTTCAAGCACATAAGTAAAATTGACAGTAACTCAGGAGTGTAGGAAAACTTTTAAATAAATGTGTTTTACAAACAAAAAGTTATTTAGGTGAAATTAAGGTATCGTACTGTCTTTCACTCTTTTTTAGATGAAAGAGTGTTTACAAAAATAGCTGCTTTCTGCGCTCCTGCTCCTCAATAAAAATTAACTCTAGAACACAAAAAAAAGGGAAATAAGGGTTATTATGATTTTAAAAATAACAGATAAGAAAATTTGAGATAGGTATTTTTTCTCAGGTACAAGGACAACTTCTGACAAAACTGAAACGGATGTTCATTTTTCCAAAACTTCCTCTTTTAGTTTTGCTCAAAAGTAAAAGTAAACAAAACAAATACATGTAAGCTAATATTCTACAATAAATAAAATAAATTACAATAAATAAATTAATAAGACAAGACAAAACAACCCATTGACCGTCTTTTGAGTGGACAGTAAGCAAGAAGCACATACTTTAATGTTTAAAAAAGAGGAAACTAAGTAAGTGGGGCTGAAATTGATCACCGGATTTGAAGGAAAAAAAAGAAAAGAAAAATCGGCGTAGAATCGAGAGTATGCTACAGATTTAACTATTTTATTTTCTCAAGTTAAGTAGACACTGAAAGATAATTTGGCTATTCTGATATTGTTCTCATGCTTAGAAGTGTGCTTCAAAAGTAACATCATTAAAAAAACAGTACACACTATAATCAGAGAAATGAGAGAGAAAAAATGTGATGTATGTTTAAATAGTATCCAAATGAACAAAGCTACACATTGATAACTGAACAGATGAGAGGAAAATGTGATGCATGTTTGAACAGTAAGCTATTCTCATGAACAAAGCCACATATTGGCTATCGATGATAGAGTCTTTACAAAATCATTTGTGATGCTACTAGTACGTACTTAAAATAATCTAAAGCAAACAGAATCGCTTAAAAAGTTTAACAGTAGCAAAATATAAGTTTTTAATTATACATAGCTATAAATCTTCAAAACCTTTTATTGAAGGTTAGATGGTTTGATTAATATTCATGAATGAACAGTGAAAAAGATCAATAGAGACTGAGTCCATTAGACTGATTTCGCGACTTTGCCATTCATTCTATTTCCATTGAGTCATGCCACCCTTGAAAAGTGCAGTAAAGCAATCGATGTCAAAGTAGCCCATTTGTTGGAACCATTGAATGTATCGAATGACATAGTCACTAAATCAGTATTTTCTTACTTCCATCATTCGAATTCATTTTAAATTTAAAAAGCATAAATAAAATACTGTAAAGTGAATGAAATTTTAATACTTCCTTCTGAAATAAGTCAAGATTCATGATCTGAGGAATATATTTTGGCTTGTCTACGTATTGCAGTCATAATAATAAAAAATTGAAAAGGGGACCTCATGTTTGCAAAATTGAACTGTCCAAAACGTCAGGAGGATTTTGTCCTCACCTTATACAGGCCTATGGTTCTACTGAGGATGAATATAGGACTTACAAAATGAAACTGAGTATCATTTTATTTTGCGATTGTTTAATTTTTCACAATTTAAAAGTGACGTGTGCATTTTCCTTGTCTGTTTTTGTGGTCGCTCAAAAATTTCCTGTACTTTCGAAATAAATTCATTAGAAATAATGTTTCATACCAACGGTTGGAATTTCCCCGTTTAAAATTAGAACATGACATAATGCTTTCAGCTACTCGCTGCAGAAAAACCAGAAATATGAGACCACTTGATTTGCGAGTAAAAATGAGACAGATTCTGGGCTGTGACTTGAACATCTGATGTCATAACCTTTTCTTCGGTCTTTTTTTTTACACATCACACAGGAAAAGTTATTCAAACAGAACAGATTGTTCTGAGAAATTGAGTATTTATTAAGTCTAGCATTTAGCTACAACTTAGAACTGCTAAATTACTAGAAATGATTGGCCCTCTAAAACATTTTGAGCTCCTGGCCTGCACTTGCCATGTGAAGCTGTTACTTGGGTGGAAAAAACTTAAGAAATTCTTTGTTTAAATAAAACATATTCCTCAGTATCATGATGTATGATTATAATAGTCAATTGGACGGGCTTTAAAAAAAACTAAGGAGAGCCGAAAATGATCTCTCAATAACAACGTATACAAAATTTGAACACTGGTAGGTTGCAAATAAAAACAGGAGAGGGGATTATAACTTCAAAATGATTAAGATAAATAGCAAAATTATGACAAGAGAATAACAATATTACTGTAGAAATTAGCTCGGAGTAAAAATGTTAGTCCTGCGACTATCACAGCCTTAAACTACTAAATAATTAACGTTCACTAAACATATAACACTAAACCAGGTAAAATGTGACAAAAACTTTACTAAACCTCACAGTTGATCGTAAATTGTCCTTAATCTGTACAGAATCTTTTCCATAATAAAAAAAAAAAAATTTCTGTGGTGAAAATTTTAAAGAGAGCTGAGTGGTATCCCACCATCGAATAGATCCTTTTAATTTCTCCTCACCTTTTGTGACGTGGCACAAAAAAGAGAGATGCAAAATGCAACTTAAGTTTGTCAAGTTACCCTGAAATAACGGGTTCCGTTTTTGTCCAATAAAACTGGTATGCATTATACAATGTAAATTAGAATCTCACAATAGAAATATAAATAAAAGTGAACAAAGTACTGAGACTCTTGTCCTCCAGTTAAAAAATGAAAAATGAAACAAATTTTCCTCATACAACACTAAATTTCAAAGAGTCAGAGGGCTGAAAAAAATAGGAAACTGTTTCCCTAATTTTTTAATTCTTCTTAAGGAAGGAAAACTCAATTCTACATGTAGCAGGAACCTTGGGTTTCTTATGAATACTGATAATCGATCAATAGAGAGAGAAGTGAAAAGAAAATCTATAAACTTGAAACTTCATTTCTACTGTTTTTCTTAAACAAAATTTTCCTTACCGATACCGGAAGAGTTCATGAAAAAATTTAGGTGACTGAGTCGGTGGCTCAGTTACTTTTACTTCGCCTAGAAGTAGATAGACTGAGATAAAAAGCATGTGATGAAAAAAATACAATGTTAAGAAAAGGTTAGAGCTAGGTCAGATTAGTCAACTAACTTTTTTTTAAAGTGAGACAGAGGTTGCACCATCTTGATTCTTGCACCTGGATTCAATGAAAGAATGAAGACGGCAACCTTTAGGTTCCCTTAAAAAATTGGCGCACTAAGGCCTTGGCTCTAGGCTAAATTACGTTGAATAGATCCTGCCACCATTGGAAAACCAAATTTTCATTCAACGGGCTAAAAAGAGAGTTTAACACTCCTAGATTAAATTGAGAAAGCCTGAACTGAACAATGATTCAGTTGAAATAATTTACTGATTGTGAGATATTAGTCCTATTTGTCAAAAATTCATACTATAAAATAAAAAAAATAAAATGATTCATTCATTTCATTTTCGTTCATACGATAAAATCCACCTCAGCTCAGCAGGGTTGTAAAGACTTCCCTTTCATAACAAATAAATGGCTGCAAAGAGGCCGGCTTGTAGTAGCTTTAAAATTGCGTTTCTCTGAAAAATTGCGGTGAATTATGTATGTTTTTCGTTATTTTATAATATTGCAGCCATTTGTGAATGATAGTGAAAACAAGGCTTTAGCTTAGAACATTTTGGGGAAAAGAGTTTTTTAAAAGTGGGAAAGCTAGTTGGAAAAATAGGAGGCATAAGAACTTTATGCACTTTTGAGCCCAGCCCAACAATTCCTTGTAATACTGAGCAGTCTCCACGAAGGATCAAATCTATACACCGGCACTGCCAATTAAAATTGAATTGCATGACAAATTTAAACTGAACTGAGCCTGATAAAATTAAGCTGATCTACAAACATAGCAAAATCAAATCAGACAAGATCACCATAACAGAAGTAATAAATCCTTTCCTGAGTAAGGTACTTAAGTGATGCAAGCATGACTAGAGGTCAATCTGATATTGGATGAAAGATTTGAAGAGACTATTGTAGACAATCAAATGAACAGGATACCACTTTCTGGAAAAAAATAAATAGGTAATCGTTAGGATCAAAAACACTGTCATGTGAAAAATGATGTTTCTCCAAAAGGAAGACAAAGGACCCTGCACACCTCTTATGGGAAGCTGCACCACGACCGATTGCCTTCTGACTTATGTACTTCGATTCTCCTCAAGATGCTGATCAAAAGTTATAATTGCGCCAACTTTCTACGATGCACCGTTTTCGCAAAAAAGCTAAGTGAAGATTCAATTATTTGGCGATAAAAAGCCAGAAAGATTCCTCATTTCAGTACTCGAGTGAACAAATCAGGGGAACTCCCGCACCAACCGGCAGTCTTATCTCGGATTCCGCACGCCGTTTTCCTCGACCACCCATCGTGAGGAGCATATGAACAGGAAAATGAGCGTCAAACGGACGCATCGAGAGCGGGAGGAGGGGGATAGCCCTAGAGTCGGCAGGTACAGATAAGAAGACGGACACGCGCTAGGTACATTTTTTCCTTATTTACATCGGGCCTGTTCTCAAATGCTTTGTTCTTTTTTATTCATAGTCGCTGAATAATTGAATCTTCACTTAGCTTTTTTGCGAAAACGGTGCATCGTAGAAAGTTGGCACAATTATAACTTTTGATCAGCATCTTGAGGAGAATCGAAGTACGTAAGTCAGAAGGCAATCGGTCGTGGTGCAGCTTCCCATAAGAGGTGTGCGGGGTCCTTTTTACCTTTAAATTCCTCCTTCTTCTCCATTGATTTTTAGAATTTCGGAGCCAAATTTGGAGAAAAAGTCGAGGTATGACTTAAATACGACAAAAAGGCAAAAAATTCGTTTAGTCAATGCTGTAACTTGACAAATCAATTATACCTACCATAAGAACTCGAAATACCTATTTGACGCACAAAATATGTCTGAAACATTTTACAGGAGCTCAATAATTCCTACTTTAAACTTTAAGTCAATCTTTTTTGTGATTAAATAGTGATTAAAAATGTGAGCAATGGTGAAGCCTACTGACAGGACATACTTTTTTAAACAGTAATTCAATAGTTTTACATCATAGCCCACATTCCGTCTACTAATATCATTGTTCTTTTCCATTTTCAGAATGCTGCTTTTTAATGAACGTACAAAGTTCCAGAATGAAAAGTTGGAAACCACATAACTTGCAGGATCAGTGAGCATGAAATTCCTTTTGATCAACCAAATGGCTTTAACTTCCAAGGGCTCTGGTGACTAAAGCCTAGATCCTGGGTTGTATATGCACGCAATGGTCAACCGAAAATGCCTCACGGAGAAGAAATGTAAAATCAGCAGCTCTACTTATGGAACCTCCTAGATTGAGTGACTGATTCATTACTCACTGCTTAGGAAAAACAAAGCCACTGTTGCTTGTTCAAGTTCAGTCCACTTTTCCCAGCTGGATCTTACTGACTGCTGTGAGTATATTTTATTCATACATAATTACGTACGCCTATCAAAAATTATTTTGTCAGCTAAAATTTGTTTGAACAAACGAAAAATTCATGTTTTCTTAATTTTTGAACAATTTAAAAAAATAATTAGTTTGATAGCCCCTTTTAATTTGTCACCATACAAATAAGCGGTTTGATTCTCGCTCAATGTTTCACATTTAGAATTAGAAACATATTTTTTGAGGCTGCTTTTACCTATGATGACCAAAACCCCGAAATGTAGTGAGGTTGAAAAAGGTGTTTATATTCAGAATCAGTACAAACTATTTAAATTTTCATAACAACTTACTTAGATATGGTCGCCAAACTTTCTTCATCTTCAAACTCCTTGACTATCCCCTGACTATTTTTTGCTTTTCCCTGACTCCAAAATTTTTGGACTCCCTGACTTTTCCTGACATTTGAATGTAACTTCCATTTTGATTTTTTCCCTTTAAATTACACTCACTTTTGCAGAACGAGAACACATTAATTTCCTGACTTTTTGTGTGAAATCTCTGACATTCCCTGACTTTTCCCAGTCGCTGCAAATTCTGTCTTTCCTAGTTTTCCAGACCACTGGTAACACTGTTAAACTGATCAAAAGTGTTCTTCAACGTACAGAGAATTCAAATCAGCTCTCTCGCCAAAAAGGATACACAGGACTTACTCTTTTTTATCTTAACAAATGAATTTACTTTCTCCTGTCCTATCTGAGGATACTACCATGGCTGGCAGTCAAATATCAGTTATTTTACAATACAGGTATTAGTATTGCAAGCCTGGGTACCAAACATTGTTTAGGTAACATTTATCGAAGATCAAATATACCTACTATAGCATCAGCTTTAAAATCATCGCAAACGCCAAACATCAGTATCATCATCATCATCCTCATCATCGACATCATTTGGGTGAGAGAAATGTTTCTCTTCTTTCTTGCAAACAACCGTCTGAGGGAGTGAGAGCGGTAGGGAGTGGAATGCCATGACCTCATCATCATCTTCCTCGAAATCCTGGTCATGGTAGCCATTTGGTGCTACAAATTCCACATCTTCATCATCATCATCGTAATCTTGGTCATAGTCGCCCATCACCGAGTCAAGCTCGTCATCCACCGAAGGTTCATCGTACTCATCGTCGATTTCAACACCACGGATCCGTTCATAGTCGTCAATTGGTTCTTTCTTTGGCTCAATCATCTGGAACATAGAAGGGAGATTTAGGGTGGCTTTGAAAATGTAACTTGACTTTAATAATGGACACTGACGGACCATAGTCACTAGCGACAAGTGCTCAGCTTACATTTGACTACATTTGTTTTTCGCGATCGATTCTAGAACAAAAATACGAATTCTTGTTTCAAATGCACCACTTACTTCCTTACTGCAACAACCGTAAAATATTACAGATCAATCTTATCTTAAATCTTCAAATACCACATGACAGACGATTTCAGCTATTACAGTACATTCCCCTCCCACCTCCCAACGAGTTGGATTTCTAATCCCTGTGTCACTGCGAAGTACGTATAATATACATGAGTGGATTTAGGCATTGATATTTTTGAGAGAAACATTTGGTTTTGGATTAGTAATTCTGAGAAAATAAAACATCTTTGGAGGTTTTTAGACGTTGCTAATGAAGTAAAATTTTTTTGCGTTTAGCCATCAATAGGTTTGAAAATTAAAAATTTGCCCAATCTACATTTAGCTTTAAATAAAACAGAACACTGAAAATTTTAGGCTTCTATCAGGGGCAAAAATATTTTCTTAAGATGAACTTTCCCTAATTTACTGATGTGTTTTAATTATGTAAACAGAATTCTTACCTCTTGAGATTGTTTGGAAGTTTCTTTTGAGTTGCTTCCATCCTTAGCTTGTTCCTAAAAAAGAACAGTGAAAAATTAAGAGTGGAAAAAAAGAGACAAATATGTAATATCATTGAAAAGATTAACGTTTTGAAGCTAATTTTCATTACAAAACAAGTTGTTGGGCTCTTAGTCTTTTTTCCACTCCAGTTCTACAACAGAGAGCAGCATGTGTTTTTTCGAACCCTTTTTCGGTCAACCTCTTTGAGCTGCTCTATTGTCGAGAATTTTCGAAACTAAAATTTCCCCCAATTATACTGGTTGTAATGAAATGGCTGAAATTTATGAGGAATTTGGGGCAAGCAGAGAAAGATATTGATTAACTCACTTTGTTCTTTGAATTTAATGGCTTAGCTCCTCTGCGGAATCGTACTGCTATATTCCTGCTGTCTATTTTCAAGTTCCGCGTAGATTTAAGCGCTTCAATTGCTAAATCTACAGTCTTGAATGCAACAAATGCCCACCTGCAAATTAAAACATATCAAACATTTTAATTGTGAAAATAAATAATGAATGACTATAAATTGGTCAATTGAGCTTCTCATAAAATTATGTTTTGATAGGTGAAGCTTATAGATTAGCAAAAATTGATAAGATCCGTCCAAATGCCAAATTTCTACATCCAATATTAATGAGGGTATTGCTCATCAAAAAACATGGCGTATAACATCAACCATCACAGTGGTGCATACTGTGGGTACTTCCATCTCAGTTTCATCCGTATTATACATTGTGCAAACAGTGCAAATGTGTGCATCACTGATTAATGAAAACAAGGTGGAAGAAACCCATCAGCTGCACTTTGGCGGTGAGTGACATCATAGGTCCTGCTTTTCGATAAGTAATACCTCTGTTAATATTGATTGTAAAATGTAAAAGCTTGATGTCTGAAAAGATCTAATTATTTTTTGTTAATCTATGAGGCTCAAACCATCAACACGCAATTCTGCGACAAGCACAAGTGACCCATTATTAAGTGATGTAAAATCAGAAGAGTCAATTTCAAAGAGTGTCCTCAGCCAACTGAATCCTACCTTCACTTTTAAATGTGATGGTCCATACAAAAGGCTTATAGTGCATAGAGGATATTTTTTTAGAAAATAATTTCTGTCAGATAGGGTTGAAAAACACCCTGTATTACAAGAAGCAATATCCTAATTGATGATGATAGACGTAGAATCCAGACGTTCAGAAAAATCTTAATACTATTTTAGAACAGATGCACTTAAATCATGAAAACGGGACTCTGTGACAAGCATTACAGATAAAATTTGTCATCAAGGTTGTTGATTCAATATTTTAATGTAAATTTTCTCTTATTTTCAGGAAACTCAATTAAAGACTTACATATGAGAGATGACTCTTTGCTCCTGACTGATTTTGATGATGGTTGAAGTAGGAAAATGCTCCAGCAAAGTCATTGTGGTTGTGTTGGCAGGTAAATTCCCAACGTATAATCTGTAAGAATAATCCGCTTTTAGAAATAACGTATTTTGTAAATTCTGATCATGATTCTTAAGTGGCATTGGATGACTCCTACGTTATCTTAAACTCAATGGACAATAATTTCAGAGTAGTGCTTTATCTCATGACGTGGGTAAAAAATGGATTTCAGAGTGACAATATCTTTATTCTTCATTAATTTTTTGATACTCTTCGATGTCGATATCAACACACCAATTCAGGAGCAAAAAACACAAGCCATTGTTTATTTAATAATAGAGATTAATCGCAAGAGAGAAAGTTCATTTTTGAGCACTCGCATAATTATAAGGCACCAGTTATACAAAGCTCCCTATGGATGATGCTTTTTATCTGAATATATCATACTCTGAAATCTATTATCAAAAACAAATAAAAAGCAAGTAATATTTACTGCATCTGAGTTGTTGGACATTGTTAGGAGCAATATTCTGATGTCCTGAATTACAAAAGTTGGCGACTGGAGCCCTTTTACCTACTCAAGGAATTAATAGGATCGCTTTTCTCTGACATGAAAAGAAAGACGGGAAGAGTTAAACAGGAGAGATTTGAATCAGTAAATTTTAAGCTCATCAGCCTTTCAATTTTGATCTCACTCTTTGCTCATGTTCAGGATAGATTAATTTTAAAACAATTTCATATTGATGGGGATTATGGAAAACCAGGGATTTTATTAGTCTTTAGTCACTTTTATCCTCACATCAGGAGCAGACTCATTTTTAAGCGTAGCGTTCAGAAAGCTTCATGCTCAAGTTCTTGCCAAATGAAAACGATTGGGCACGGACACTTTCATTGCTATGGAAGTCATAAAATTTAGGAGTTAGATAAAAATCAATCATTCTCTTTGGAGTAGATGTTGGTTTGTTAAATTATTAAATATGCTTGCACTATTTTCCATGAGGTATAACTGGGTTATCTTACAAGATTGCAGAAAGTTCTTAGCCTTTACAATTCAAGATCCCTTTTTTCTTCAAGACCTTAAAGGTGGAGTTTTTCTTTTGGTTTTTGCTCTTTACAATTTTATAAATTGCTGGGATTTTGTGAGAAACATACAATTTAAGCACTGACGCAAGCCAACTTTCTGTTTTCAAGATCTCATTTTACATCCTTTCCATTTTAAAATATTGTTTTTGGAACCCTCTCGTTACTGCATACTTTCGATCTCCACAAGACCAAGAAGTTTCTGCTTTCCTGCAATCTCAGTTATAATATCAAAGCAATATGTAATTATATTAGAGGCGCACAACCAAGTTTGTAAAATGTAAACCAAAGTCAAATTATTCAATTTCAAGTAACAGAGTTTCTTTTTTAAAAGCATTTCATTTGAGTATGAAACTTTTACACCAATCTGGTTGAGTTTTGCAAAAAAGAAGAAGCTTTAATAATTGGGTTTCATACTGAGGCAGAAAAATGCATCATTTATCATTCTTTGTAGAAAAATGATGCACATTGCCATGAGAGCTTGGAGAGTCTAAGATCAAGAGAAGTAGTTTTTATTTTCTTAAATGTCTGCTAGGACTCACTCATTGGATTCTTACAATTCCGCAAATTAACTTCTGCTATGACTTTGACTTAAGCATCTCAAAAAATAAGATAAAAATTTTAATCAAAAAAGAATTAGGGAGTATTTTTAGCTTTTGAACCCACCACTAGATTTCTAGAATAGAGGCGTCAAAATTGTTAAATGACAAAGCAGTCATTTGCAAGGCAATGAAAAAGAGGTTTGCATTTTCAAGAAAGATTAGCTTGGTTTATTACCAATTGGCGGTTGAAAAAATAACACTCGCCAAATTAACCCCGCTAAAAATAGTGTAATTTTAGTTTATCAGCTGTACAAAAAAGAACGGTGTATTCTTCTATCAAAACACTATTCAACATTTTCTATTTAATTCGGAGTTTACTAAATTTGCCTTTTTTGATGCTCTGTAACCCTGGTTATGTTTAGGGTAAAGAGTGTGCATTCTTCATGAAAATTTTCATCAGTTGATTAATTTAATCTGTTTCTAATTAGAACTCATTGAATATTAAAAAAAAAAAAAAAAAAAAAAAAAAAAAAAAAAAAAAAAAAACCTATGATTTTACTGTTAATCTCCACCGAGCACTTCTCTAGTGCAAATGTATTAGAGCTTCCTGTTTCTTTTTACTTCTTCTTTTTTCGTTCACTCGGTGTATAATTTTCAATTAATCAGAAGTTAATGTTTTCATTGATTATGAAGTCTGTAAGAACCACTTTGTTACAAAGGAAAGAGGGAAAAAGGACGAATAGGATTACTCAAAGGAGTACTCGTACTTGAAATTCTTCAAAATTAAGGGGAAAAATTTCTTTTCCATCATGAAGAAACATTTCAGCTCCTGAGAATCTGAAATAATTAATGACCCATGGTTTTCACTCCTCTCGAAAAGACAGTCAGAGTTGCATGATTTTGCACGCCCTCCCCCTTTCCCTTCAGTTTAATTTTTACAGACAGCTTTGTTTCGGTGGAACCTTGGGACGATGGGAACTTCTCGATGTAGGTAACTAGCAAAATTCCAAAATAAATGTTATGCACTTTTTTCATTGAACTAAATCTCCTCAAATATGCACTTAGATCAAGGTGGAGGCTGCATCCATGTCAAAACTGAGGTGAGGAAAGGAGATATGGGTATTAGATGTTTGACTACTAAATTACTTGTACTATGTACTGTGTACTAGTACTATGTTTGCATGATCTGTTACTTTTTTATTCCATCTTGACTGCCAATGCGATCCGTTAGATTTACATCAATGCCTTGTAACCCCCAATAATCGGCTTGTATATTTCAGTGCACAGTAAAGATAAAGATTGAACTGTGCATCAAAGCAAAAGCTTACTGAAATATTTAAAAATCATTCCTCAAGTTCTTTCACAGTTCTTGAATTCAGAACCAAAAATGGGTGCATAGTAATTTGATTGAGCTCCTTAACAGTTGTAAGAGATGTTAAAATATGCGATGAATTCTCTTCAACCAATGAAATTATCTTTTAATAACTATGAAAGAATATTTCTCCTTTAAAGAAACCCAACTTGATTTATTGGAAAAGTGGTTTTCTTTTGCATACAGCCTATGCTGAGTCAATTCTGAGAAAAATATCATACACATTTTGCATTTCTCAGAGTAGATTCATGGTAGGTAGCTCTGACAGTGCTAATTATTTACAGGACTAAATTGGAAAATTTATATTCCCTTAGAACTCAGAGGATATACTGACAATATTTTGCATTCTTTTGAGTAAATACTAACCACTGATTCAGAAAACTACAAGTGCGCAAGTTTTGTGGACTTTGAAGATTAAAGATATGATTTTGTATTCTTCAGAGTTAAAATTCCAAAACAGTGAGACAAAGAGTGAACTGAGTGCTTCAATACTTGATACACTTGCCTCCATGATTTTATCCTACTTTTTTTTCCTTAAAGAGGAAGACAAAACATGGAAAACGTATTCTTTGAAGTATTAGTAAGTCCTGAAATTTCAAGTTTGACAGGCAATTGAAGGAATGCTAAAAAGTGCATGAGAGTGAAATTTTTACCTCATCTCCTTTTTGTGTTTTGATTCCTAACAAGTTTTACAGTATTAAAGCTGATCACTATTTTTAAAATATAACTCTTTTTTACAGCTAAAATGAGAAGTTGAAAGAAGAATCAGGTGTCAGAAGAGAGATCGCGCGTACAAAGGGTAAATATCCAGCTTTCCACTCAATTTTAGCATTGATTTATCAAAATTAAACTAAATTACTCATTGTATGAAGTCATCATTTTGGCTTTTTTGCAGAGCTTCCATGTCGTTTTTCTGTCCATGAGAACTTTCTAAAATATTAATAGGAGCAAAAGAGAAAAAATAAATGTTCAAAAACTTACGTATATGGGTCTATACATTCAATGACATCTGTGTTACTGTCACATTTCTGATTAGTAACCGGTTTTCGCTCGGCTGATAAGTAGCCTGTGCCAAATTTTGTTTTGTTCAAACTTTCAATAACTTCATCTACATCTACATCATCTTCTAGATGCACATAACAAAATCTGTAATGATGGAAAAAAAGATTAGGGCATCTGGCTGGGCAATGTATTAGTAGATTTCAATTACATGCTAAATATCACATAAGCTAAGATGAAAACAAACTTTCTCATCTGTTCTCATGTAGACTTGGTTCCAGTGAACGGGGAATGAACATAACAATAAATCAAACATGAAATCACATGGAACTATTGAAAACCTTTTAATATACTTGAATTCTTCAAGGGAATGATCATTTCTTTATTTTAACTTTCAGAGACATGTGAAGAAAAAAAAGTCATTCTGTATCTTAATTTGTGTTAAACTGTAGGTACCCTAGTTAACTCTTATTATCACAAATGTAGTGAACTCTTCATTGATCTAAAAGAGCACAATAAGGCAAAATTTGTTGAAAGATTGATTTTTCTCAGTTCACCTCATTGCATCTTTCCTGAAATCCTCGCAAGGATCTTGGAATCTGAATCTTGGATCATAGAAAAATCTCAGTTATGTGTAAGGGCAGCATATTGACAGGGAAATTTTGGAAACCCCATCACATAAATCAATTCAAGGAAGCAGTGAAACACATTGACTCAACTCCAAAAAAAATTATAAACACGCCACAGACTTTGGAAAAGATACATTGATGTAGAAACAATAAAATCTCATTTTAGTCTATGGATTTATTCAATGAAATCTCAGCAAAAATAATCAGATTGTTTTCCTTTACTTTCAGAAAAAAAGGTGCCCAGTACCTTTGATCGCTAGGAGCTTGGAAATGTACTGATTTGATATCTGGATGATATCGCTGTACGATACTTTTTGAAAGGTCAGGATCTGGGAAACGGATGATGACTGTCTTTTCTGTCCGCTCGTTCATCAGATCTGTTTCAACTGTCAACGCCTTCACAGCATCTTCTTTGTTCCAAGGTTTGGTGGATATATATTCTTCAAATAGAGATTTCTTTTTTCGTCTCCTCCTTGCCTCTCCATTTGTACTCCCCTGAAAGTGAGGAAAAGATTAGAATTCATATTCAAATTAGCTTTAACGTTGGTGGTAATGTTGTAACATATGAAAGGTAATGAATGAGCACTTGGCCTATATATTCCTAATACCTATTAATAAAGTTAACTATCTGATCAATTAACCCATTATCACGTGTGGCCGAGGTAAGTTTAAGAACTATCAAGAATCAAAATCAGACTCCTGCCAGTTCCACCTATGGTTTTTGTGCCAGAAAGGCCACAGAGCAAACTACAAACATGACTTGATCGGGACAAAACTTCATTAATTGAAGCTGCACTTTGGGAGCCTTGTTAAACATATAAAAAATTCTCCAAATTCTTCTATTCAATTCTTCTTGGTGTTGATAAATTAATTCAATTTTTTTCCCCTTTCAAACAAGTATTTCTACCCCCTTTAACACTGAACGAAAAGTCCCCAAAAACTAAAATAAAAGTAACACCCAGATATATCTTCAAAAATTATTAATCAGCGAACTGAACAAGTACATTTAATGAAAAAAGAAAGTGAGCATACTTCCATACAAACCTCATTTCCCCGTCTGAATTTATTGGGTGCACTTTTGCTATTCCTGTTGAAACGAGCTCTTGGTGGCCACGGCACAGCAAATCCATCATTAGTCGTTGTTGTCTGGAACGATCACATTAAGTTGTCAAAGACGTTCAAACTATATCATAATAGATGGCACATGGAAATTATTTCACACAATTCTTATACTTTTTATGTTCATATGGGGACCTTTCTACTCCTTTGATGTAATATTTTATGGAAACGTTTACGTAAAATGCAGTACATTAAAATATTTAAATAGTTCCATTTTTTTAAGAAAAAGTGTGGACACTTTTTAGCCTCCGGCGAAACCTAGAGTCTATACGGCTTCGCCGCACGACTAAAAAGTAAAGGATCGAGAGACTACGAAGAATGAAGGAATAAGCGGCGAGTACAATTTGCTATTTTTAACCATACAGCATACAGTCCTGATTCAGAGTTACTAAATACCAAGATTGATTATTGTGTTTTATTTTTTACAGATACTCAAATTACGACTTTCAAATACTCCAGGATATTTTTCTTCATTGCAGCATACTTAAAAGGCAAATGTAAAATTAAGACAGTTGTTCACTAGACAGGGTAAGAAATTAAGCTCTACAGCACATGTTTTCTCATCAGTGGTAATTTTTCAAGGTGGCAACACCGTCTTTCATCCTTTTGAATTCATTAAAAATATCAAGTTCAGGCGAGACAAGCTGCCTCACTTAGAATCGATTATTTTACATGCATTTAAATGGAGAAAAAACAGGTTTGCCAACTTTCAAGAATTAACACTGTTTCTCATCCAAATTTCTAATGGAACATGTTGAATGTATCAAACTTTTTAAAAGTAACTCATGAGTGAGAAATGAAAGAATCTATTACTGAACTTAGTTCAGTCATTAAAGTTGTCGTTGTTGACATTGTTCACAGTAAATTCAAATTTCCTGCTTGCAAAAAAAAACCATAATCAACGTATGCCAAACTGAGCACAGAAATCAACCTATACACTGGGCAAATAACCAGAGCTTGGTTTGCACGCATTTCTTTCCTCTTCTGATACATGGTATTGTTTTTTTGAAGAAAAAGTTACTACGTACACAGGAAGAGCACTCATGCATTGTAAAATGTACTGAAATTATTACAGTGCTCGATTTTCCGAAAAATTTCCTGTGAGGGGGAATTAACACAGAAAAAAACTGTTATTTTCTCACATTTGGGTTTACTTTCGAAATTTTTAATGCTTCCATCATTTTTATCTTCATCAGAAATTTTAATAGAGAGGCATATGTTGTAGTTCTTCATGTTGTATCTTGTCTAGTGGTCCATTAGTTTAATTTTATTAACATGATATGAGTCTGTAAATTAGCTCAACATTCTAACTTTCATTTTTTAACCACTAAAAATTTTGTTCAACCACTTTCAAAATTAGTCCCTCATAAAAATTTTTCATTCACTCGATTGTTTGGTTCTGACAAAGGAAGGTACTTTTATTCCTTTTCTGTGAGCTTTTATCATAAATTACTTGATTATTCTATTTTTTAAAATAAAGTGTATTTTATAAAAAATGTTGCAGGTACCGGAGGTCGACTATAGGGAGAGTTCCTCTGAGAACTAGTGAGCTGAACACCCCCATTGGCCCAGGGCATCTGCATACTGTAACTAGCGACAGATGCAGCAACTAATGGCTGCTGTGATTGTTGTTGTGACAGTTGCTTTTGTTGCTGTTGCATCTGTTGTTGGATTTGCTGATGCATCTGCTGTTGCTGCTGCATTTGCTGCTGGTGCATCTGTTGCTGCTGCACTTGCTGACACAGCAGTCCCTGCCATTCTGCACTGATACCCCAGTTTGCTGCTCCAGAGGCTGTCGATATCGGCGGTGGAGGAGGTGGGCCCATCAACATTGGAGGTGGCGGCATTGAGTACTGAAATGGAACAAGTTGTACTGGAGACATGACGAGAGGGAGCCCGTTATCTGTCATCTTGAAAATAACTGTTCAATCTGAAAACAAAATATAATGAAGTTTGATTCGAAGCTCATTGTAAGACTTTTCCACTGCTTGTGCAGCACATTTTGAGGTAGATTTTTTAATTTAGATGACAGTAGCACCAATTTTGTGGGAACTTTTATGACGAAAATTGCAGTAAACAGTAGTATTGGTGTTTTTGTAGTTGAATTTTGTTGCAACATTCTCTCCTCAGCAAATTAATTAACATTAATAAAGTGATGATGATATTTTGAATTCTGTTAGTGATATATGAGATGTATAAAATAGCTCCAGAGTAAAACTTGGCAGAACTAAAATTATTTGAAGCATATACATGGTCCTTTCAAAATGGTTCAACCAACAATGTTTTCTCATTTTCTGTGCAGCACCCCCTGAGGTTCACCCATCATATTTCAAAAATTGATGTGTGGCATCCATTTTTTTTTTTTTTTTTTTTTTTTTTTTTTTTTTTTTTTACAAAATTGACACTTCTTAGGTAATTGTGTTGTTGATTATTCTAAGTATCCAAAAATTTCATAGTGCCTGATCTCTCTACCAAATGCTAGCGTTGTTACAAAGTTTTAAGATGTAGAATTTGACGAATCAGCAAGGTATTTCAAGGGTGTAAGTCGGCAATCACACAACTCGTTTGCGGTATCTGAGAATCTCCGCCTCCATGTTATTTTTTTAAAGGAGAACAGACTGACATCATTCCTTGAAATTTTTGCAGAATTCTCTTCGCACAGAGAAGAAAATTCACGGCAGTTTTGAAGAATTTCCATTGCGTAGTTTTCCGTTGAAACAATAATGTAAGACAGGAAATCAGCGACATCGCAAACTGAGCTACGCGATTGCCGACTTACACCGTCGATTAGCTACTCACATACAATATGATTACCTTTATTCTAAGATTTGTATTATTTTCTTCATTTTTACAGAGGTTTTTTCGAGTACTTGTCACTCTGATCTGAATCTATGTGTCATCGTAACTACTTCAAGTAGGTGCCTGTTGCCCTGAATAGTACCTACTGTCGAACAGTCAGTCCGCTTCTGGGTGACTGCGTCTGACTTGATGAGGTTGATGTGGGAAAATATTTATACTCAGTACACTTCAATTTTTTAACGTAAATAAATTTACCTTAAAGGCAAATTAAGGGACATTGTGGCTGAACCTCATAACAAATGTTCATTTTAGCCTGGTAGTAGATGGAACATTGACAAGATAACTCTCCTACAAAAATATTAATTTTTCGGCTAATGAAGTCATACTAGTGACTTGGCTGGATCAAAGTTTAAAAAATGAGAGGATTTGTGAGAAATAATATTCTTATTAACAATATGCTCATGGAAATAGCACAGATTGAACCTGATTTCGACCCACTGAATTCAACAAATTTTTTAAAAAAGTTGTAGATTAATTGAATAATAGGGCATTCGAGTAAAAACAACAGCTGTTGTTTGCGCGTTGACAAACTTAATCAGGAATTCAAACTACGATTCAGTCAACCAAAGATGAAATCCATTCAATCATGAAATTATTATTGAAAATGTTCCGTACGAAACAATGATTTTAAGTGTGGGTATAACATTCCCTATATTTCTCAATACGTACTGATTATCGTAAAATCAAAAGATAGTACGTACTGATTAATGGAGCACTGCCTTGTTTGAGCAAAAATGTAGAAAATGGCTCCTTCTTGGAGATGAAATAGAATGTACACATAAGAAATGATAAGGGAGCAGGTAAGACTTAGTGAACAAAATCTTGGGTTGCGATTAACAATAGACAATGCTTTATTCGGAAAAAACTGCTAACATAGAAAGACACTCAAAGGATTAAGCCCACATTAGAAACACCCGAAACTGATCTCCGACAATTAATGACTGGAAAAATGGTGACATGCTAGATTGACAGACTAGACTTGTCTTTCCTAAAATCATACACCGCTTAGGATAGAAGTGTAGACAACCAGCACATACTTTGATGCTGAATGATAACAGGGATATTCAAAATGACAAAAGTTAGCTAAAATAAGCAATCATGTCATGAATCTAATTACCCATGAGAAGTGTGAGGGCTGAGAGGGTATTTCTAGTGGTGTGGTGTGGAGAGATCTCCTTTGATTACCAGCAACAACAGCAGAAACCTGAGCCACAGATGGTGTTTCGAAGAACCCTTATTTTACTGTTAACGCACATAAAGCTCACGCTGAACCGTTTAAAATTCAACTAAGTTAAAAACAAACATTTATTTTCACACTAATCACGGCGTATGAATTTTCACTTCAATGAGTTCAATGATTCCGTTCCATTCTAACCCCTGATTCGTGGTAAATAGTAAACAAAGAGCCTGCGCGATGCGAACTCTGGGGGCGGAGTTTGTAAACATACGCAAAGGTGAGACGTCACGTGATTGAGATTGTCGCAGAGCGGGAATTATAAATTTGCGGGCGGGCCCATGCTTCGCCGCAATCCAGCATGGCTATCCGTGTTTGGCCGCACATTCAAGAAGTTCATGCCTAGGTACAGGTTATCCTTCTTGTACCGTTGCAGTATTATTTTAAGCACTTACAAAAGTAATGACGGAAAAACCCTGAAAAATACCTCGAGTTACGTCCTTACATCAAACCCACAATACCTAAATTATTTGTGAAGATAGGGAATACACCTACCTTTAGTGAGTAAAAATACACTGGGGAAAAAAACACATTGGATCTAGAGTCCAGACTCTTAAAAACATCTACAAGAAAAAGTACTCTTGATTCAATCAGAATCTAGCTTAAATCAAGAACCAAGCCTCTTAACTTAAGTGGATTTCCTTTTGATTCAAGCAAAAATCCGATTGAATCAAGAGTGTTTTTTTTTTTCTTGTCAATGTTTTAAAGAGTCTAGACTCTAGATCCAATGTGTTTTTTTTTTTTTTTTTTTTTTTTTTTTTTTTTTTTTTTTTTTTTTTTTTTTTTTCCAGTGTAGGAACCTCGAGTGAAACAGTTTCTTCATGGGAAATTTTTCCTCCTACTTTTTAAGTGTCACTTTATTGATATGTTCAAACAATTCCATAATAATTTTCTTTTCAAAAGTATGGAGAAATATTTACCACATTGGGGTGGCAGTGAACGAAATACTTTCCTTGAGCACCACTTTGGATTCCCGCTTTCCATTTTCTCCTCTATTATTAAATTTACTTTCCGAGGGTTTGATGAGGCAGATTTTCCTAAATACAAACAAATGCGAACTGTCAACTTAAACACTGTGCCTCTTTTTGTGAAGGTAAGTACCCATAATTTTTTCTCTATCAATTTCTTCTCAAACATAATATTCATGCCCATTCATGCCCCTTCTTGCAGATATTTTGACAATACTTACTTGCATGACGGGCTGATTAGTGAAAGTTTAAAGCAGCCCAATAAGACCTCGAAATACGATAAATTGCATTGTTAAGATAGGGCCATGTCTTGTCGTGTTGGGCCGACATAGTTTCAATAATTGGGCTGCTGTGCTGCTGCACTGATTGAGATTTGTGGGTCTTGTCCTGGATGAAGTGATGATATTGATGTAGAATACTTTTGGACAGCATTATGGTCTTTTATGGAAGTTTGTATATTTCGTCATTTCCCTCACGAAAGAATGGAACTACATTTCAATGTTGCCAAATTTCCCCTTTTATATTACATTTTTACCAAGAGAATCCCGAGTATTTTTGATGAAAATTTCACCGATTTTTTCTTTGATTACACACAAACTTCAGACTATAGGACTATGGACCATAATTCTGCCGTGCTATGTAGGAACGCCGTATGAGCCTTAAGGCGTTGCAAAATTTCTTCTGGCAAATCACTAATTTTCAGGACAATTTTTAGGTATTTTTCTGTCAATTTCTCACATAATTTTGTTTGAAATTTGAACTTAAGTGTCTAAAATTTTCAAAGAAAAATATTCATAATTTTTCTCATAAATAGACACTTTATCCAAGGAAATTTGGCAACTCTCGAATGTTCAAACGGCGCTCTTCTTTAGCACGGCAGAAATGCAGAGGTTCATTTTTGAAAAAAATTGAATTGTTTGAGTGGATTTTGCAACCTTGGAATGAAGTTACGTTCCTTCGTCCAGGAAACGGCGATTTTTATTCTTATTTCCTCCTGATCAGATTCAGTTTTAAGTTAATGGATCCAAAAGTATGTCGTAGCTCTGGAGGTTGGTATGGTGTGCAAGGGCCGTTATAGTACATCAATGATATTAAAATATATACCTATTTGTTTTGCGGCGTTGCGAAGTTTCCATTCAAATTTTTCTTATGGAAGTGAATCCAGAATATATACAGGGTGTCCTAGACCACCCGTAACAGGCTTTTTTCTTGGTTATTTTAGGTAGGATGTAGTCGAGACTGCAAGCACGAACAGAGAAACGACCGAAATATATTCAACTCTAGGTAAAAATTAGCGATAGGAGCTGTGTGTCAAAATACCATAGGAGTTCTTATAGCCGACTAAAGAAGGCTATTGAAAATCATATAGCTGGCTATAGAAAGCGGAGCAAATCATATAGCCGGGCTATACGAAGCCGTAAAAAAAGTATACAGTCGGGCTATAGTTCCTATCGCCGGGCTTTACACTTTATCGCCATTGGCTATAAAAGGCTATCAGAAATTGTGTAGAAATTCGTGTGCTTTGGAAGTCATTAAGTTTGATACGGAACTACCTTAATATTTACAAAACACACATTATAATTTCCTTTAAAACATATTTTTTTTCATAAATTAGAATGAGAATAGTCCGTACAGAGTGTAAAAACATTTCAAAATCATGCGTTGAAAAACGCTGACTCCGCGAGATTAAATATTAGAGCCTAACACAAAGCGGAGCGGCGGCGCACTGGCGCCTACAAACCCAACAGGGATACTTCACGCATTGCGCAATGCGTGAAGTAT